ATCCAATGACACTGAAGTGTTTACTATACTAAGTGACATATAAATCCGAACACCCAGTTTAAATGGTTTTATTTTAATAAAAGTTGGTGAATGAATTTATCTTACTGTAAATAACAAGTGAAAAAATTTTCAGCCTTATCAGTTGGACATTCCGGCTTTTATACTGCTTTTTTTTAATTCACTAACGCTCTAAAAATGAATATTTCAGCCGCAGTAAAGAATCAACGTTGGCGGATTTTGGTTCTTGACATCCTTTACGATCGGTTACGATGCCTAGAGTACGGAGACCTGTACGATTTCGTCAACTTAGTGAGTTTGATAGGGGCCGTATAGTGGGACTTCGGGAAGCTGGACTTTCTTTTCGGGCAATTGCAGTTAGAGTGCAAAGAAGTGTAGACACTGTGGTTAGGTGTTGTCAGGCATGGCTTCGAGAAGGCCGTACGCAAAGAGCAAGGGGTACTGGACGCCGCCGTAGAACAACAGACCGTGAAGATCGCCGCCTAAGATTATTGGCCTTAAGGGACCGTTTCTCCACTACCAGGTCCATTGCAAATGAATGGTTTGCAGAACACGGAAGACCTATTGGCATGCGAAGTGTTTACCGACGAATGAGAAGTTTTGGCTTGTTTTCATACCGGCCACACTGGGTCCTCCCTTTAACTCGAGAACACCGACGTAATCGCCTTGAGTGGTGCAGACAACGGTCACTCTGGGATCAGGAATGGAACAGTATTGTCTTTAGTGATGAGTCTCGATTTTGTTTAGGCATGCACGATGGTCGTGCCAGAGTTAGAAGGCGACGTGGTGAAAGGAGGAATCCACAGTTTTTTGTTGAAAGACATGTTCATCACACTGTTGGAGTTATGGTTTGGGGTGCTATAGCTTATGGTTCCAGGTCACCTTTAATCTTCATCAGAGGTAACATGAACGCGCAGCGTTATATCCACGAAGTTCTAGAACCCCATCTTTTACCCTATCTTGACACCCTGGCAGATCCAACTTTCCAACAAGATAATGCCCGACCACATGTTGCTAGAGTCACAATAGACTTCTTTCAACATAATGATGTCACATTGTTACCATGGCCACCAAGATCTCCCGACTTATCCCCAATTGAGCACGTGTGGGATATGATGGGTAGGAGATTGCTCAATTTGCAACGTCCTCCTCAGACTCTAGAAGCACTTTGAGAGAAGTTGGTGGTTGCCTGGAATGAGATACCACAGGAGGACATTGACCACCTGATCAGAAGCATGCCTAGGCGCGTTGGAGAATGCGTAGCACATCAGGGTGCATCCACACATTATTAAAGGTCAAAGGGCTTTAAAGCAGTGCAATCATTTTGAAATTTTTATCATTTACTTACTATGCTTCATTAAGTACTTATACAAAATTTTATTAAAATAAAACCATTTAAACTGGGTGTTCGGATTTATATGTCACTTAGTATATGAAACGATATTCAAAATGTTGTACAATGGTCGATACTCTTGCAAAAGCACTATACATAACGTATGCCCTAAAGGTTTTGGAACAAAATTCGTTGGCAATATCAAGTTGCCTTTGGAAACAAAAGTTTGTTTACTTACTATACTTGCCTGTAGCTATGATCGGTGACGTATTGCAAAAAAAAAAATTCGTTCAAGCGTTCAATTATCTCTTACTTCTTTTATTGATCAGGCTGAGAGAGAAGCATATTGAAACGCGGATTGGATATTATAAATGTTACCTCATTCAGTACATTATTTTTCGGATAAGATTTCATCAATAAAAATGATTTATATTCCTTTTTTAATCGAATTCCACAAGTACAATCAGTAAAGTCAATACTGTAGATGCATTGTTACAAAACCGTTGTTTATAGCTATAAATAGTGCTGCTAAGCAATGATACGGATTTTATACCTTTTTATTTTTAACTTTTTTTATGCATTTGTAGTGTAATATGGCGTTGTGGTATCATAGTTCGTTGTTGTTCTTGGCAATGTTGTGAAAGCTGTCAATCTATAAATGCTGAAGAGAGTAGAATTAAGGTAGGAAGAGTGAAGCCCACAAGGTTACGAGCACCGAATTTTTTCAATGAGATCTAAATACAAATTTGACACATTTGAGTAATTGTAAGTTTGAAAGCATGCTACTTCAATAAATTTTCAAAAATCCTTGCGTATTTTCCATTTTCCTGGTGATTCGTCTGTGAGAATGGGATACTACAGAATAACAATTTTCCTACTTTAAGGAGCATTTTTACTTCTTCTGACGTAGATATTTGAATTCAGTGTCCCAAATTACTTGGGGGTCATGGCCCGCTTGTTGGGTAACTGGGGTGCGTTGATCGCGAATACGAAATCAGTTATTCTCCTACTTCCATCAGGGTTTCCAGTAATTCTAGCATCTTTTAATGAGCATATTCGGATTTAGCTTCCCAAATTACCCCTAAGTATCAGTTTGATTCGTTTGTACCAACGAGGGATGGAGTTTTGTATTAAAAATCTTTCAAGTTTAGATGTGAAATAAATTTTCAAAAATGTGTGCGTATCTGCGGTATCGGTTAAAGTCCGTTTCTAAGGTAAATCGGGTCATGAATCCGATGTCAGTTATTTGTTAATATTACGACAAAAACAGATACTTTGCTTAAAAAATATAAATTTCGTCCTTGCGAAAGGTTCTGAGAGAACTTTTTTGATGGTGTGATATTTATTTGAAACAATAAAAAGACGAATAATTATAGGCCAATAATCATACGACTGATGATATTCATTTGTAGTTTGACAGTAATCAACTTTATTTGAATCCAGAGTTGCTTGTGAGATTCCTTAATGTTTAGAAAAAAGATCATCAATACAAACAGCTCAACAATACCTGTTGAAATCTAAAAAAGTTTCTGGTATTGTATATTGATGCAAGCATGACTGTTTTGAATACCATTGTCGCTGTCAAAAATAAACTTCCAAATTTATGCCGTCAGAAATCTAAAAACAGTTTTTTTAGAAAGCAAGTTAGTTGCTATTTATTATACTCAGATTGAATCAAGACTTGAGATACGCTTTGTGTTACTGGGGTTGGACAACTAATGATCAGCATTTTTGAGCAAAAAACAGCGTCAAGTAAGTTGACTCGGTACTTCCCACGCAACGCTGTTCGTAAAAGATTTTTGGCACAAGTTAGCCCTTCTTAGAAAAAAGTTAGCTACGAACATGTACTACAAAAAATTAAATGTCCCTCCGCGTCCCGAGCGAAATTCCTGTACATGTACATGATCTCTTGCGATGACCAATCCCGCGTGAGTTACGCTATTAGTCTCCACTATGTATCTAAATCTGACAACGCCGCAATGCCTCACGCAAATTACGACGGAACGCAGTGTAAATAAAGATGGAGTTACCACTGTCTCAGCGCTTCACCTGGTGTGTGAAAGTTTATTGAACGTATTAAAAAAATCCACAAATAGAGAACACAATTTTGTTACATACATTGTTTTTCTTTTTAAAACCCACACTGCACTTTTTTGGATTTAAAGAAGGTGTTCAAAATGTCGTCCTCCACTTTCCACATAAGCTTCATTACGACGAACCCAGTTTTTTCTAACTCTAGGTCCTCGAAGTTGTCCATTTATTATTTCAGCCGCATTAAACATTTTTTCGCGAAATTGTGCGTCAGTTGTTATTGGACCAGCCCCATAAACCATCCCTTTAAGTTCTCCCCAATACCAGAAATCCATCGGATTGAGGTCAGGAGATCTTGCTGGCCATTTTCGACGATCAGGAGCATTTCGACCGATCCAGCGATTTGGATAATGTTCATTCAAATACTGAATGACGCCTCTAAAAATGTGTGGTGGTGCCCGTCATGAAGAAACCACAAATTCTGTCTCCGTTGTAATGGCATGTTGTCTAAGGTCTGTTCCAAAAGTTCTGGTAGGTTATTGGCTAGAAAGCTAAGATATCCTTCACCTTTGGGGGTAACTCGAAAGGCCCAATTAATTAACTTAAAAGGGCCAATTACCTGATCGTCAAGAATACCCGCCCAAATATTTATTTTAAAACGTTGTTGGAAATGACATTCACGAATGGTATGAGGATTTTCTTGGCCCCACGTGTGAGTATTATGGAAATTTAATAACCCACTGCAAGATTTGAATTCTGACGAGCTTCACCGTAAACTAACAACACGTCGGCGAACTCTTGATTTGAGATCATAGACAATAAACACGACGACGTACGCGAACAATAACTAACCACTGTTACCGTTTGCGATCGATTGCCGGTTCGATAAGAGTGATGAATGACCTACGCGCTGTTGTCATGTGTGTTTTAAATATTTAATTTAGTGAAACTTACTTACTGACTACAAATTTTGGCTTAACTTAGAAAAACTTAATGCCATTTATTCATTAATTACCCAATTTAAAAACGTTTTAGATTAGATTATAAAAATTAGTGAGATTGTGCTGATTGTGGTCGATATACTGAACTTAAAGTTGTAAACTATAAATCCATTTAGATAAAAATCTATTGACTTTTGGACCATGAACTTTTTGACTTGTTTTGACCCACCTTATTACCCATTTCTATAATGACTACCATAACGTTTACACCCTGTATAATGTAGAACCAAACAGAATGAAGATGCTTAAATTTGAAAAAACTTAGATGAACTGTGCATCGAATGACTATACATAATTTTAATATGAAAAACTATAAAACTGCAAAATTCAAACTATATAAATAGTTTTTAGAATTAGCTATAATTGTTATAAACATATTGTTAATAAGACATAATCCACACACAGGCGATGACCTTCTGTGGTTTTTTCATATTTATTTGCCCATTTTTAAACAATTTTGTATTTTCGCGAATAAATATTATTAGTATATTTTTTGTTTTTATGTCTAACTCCAATGACCTATCACACCGAATTTTTTCTTTAAATCCACATTAAAACATAATTCGTCACTGCATCCTCTTGGACAAACTTTCTACATTTTTTTTCCTTTGTTTCAGATGCTGTAGCCAAGATCTTCCGCCACAATGGAAAGGATATTCAAGATCAAAACCAAATCTGATAAGGATCCGAGGGATCAATACCCCTCAGAAAGAAGATACTCAGCCTCAATCGTTATTGGACTCGGAGTAGTCTACCTCCAGCTCTTCTTCTACTCAATCTTAATGGGTACACTGATCGTTCACAGAATGACAGTGAGCACGACAGAAGAGCTCATGTTGGTTAATGAGACCGACACGGCTTTGGAGGAATCGTTTAACCTGGAGGGAATCAAAAGACTGAATGAAAGACTGGCAAAGGACATAGAAGCTAACGAAGTTCAAGAAACTCCATACTACATCAACGTTCCAGCTTTGGTTTCTGGAGGGTGCTTTGTGATGGCAGTAGGGTACTTACTGAGCTTCTGTACAGCTGTCTTAGCTTGGAAGCAATGGTACGTGGATCAGAACATCACATTCTTTTTCCTGGCGTCCAGTTTCTCGACCATCACGTCTTCACTGAGTCTGCTCGTGTCTATCTTGACTTGCATCAACATGAACGTAGACATCGAGAAGCTCCAGAATATTACAACTGAGAGTATACCTCTTACTCTAAGCTTGGCTATCAATATAGTCATTCTTTCGGCGGTTGGTGTTATTTGGTCATGTCTAGCAACCAAAGTCGCGTACAGAGGAATGAGAAGCTCCTACCCTGATGATATGTTCGTGAAAGGTAGAGGAACTGTAGAGATATCTACCACGAGGAAGGGTAGCAAAAATGCGAATATTTTCCCTCCTGATATTATAAGCCATTTCCCTGTTACTGATAAGCTAGCGAAGTATCTTCCTAGGAAGGAGGATAATGATTTACCTAAAGCTGAAAGTAATTTGGAATACAGACAACGAGTGGACCAGTTTTTGAATGGCAGTGTTGGGAGTAACGAAGATATGGATAATAAAGAAAACAAAGTTAAGGAAGAAAAAGAATGAAGGAATTTTGGCTTTGACAATGATTACACTGCAAGACTTTGCTGGATCAGGTCTTTTTGCAACGAAGAAGCATTGTCTACAAAAATTGTTGTTTCATTAGAAACTCTTGGTTTTGTGATACATTTTCAAAAAACTTATAGAACGTAACGAGAATCTAATAATCTAATTTTGGAAAAATAATTGATTCAAAATTTTCAGATTGTGATACGGGAACGTTCATGCCTTTTATGTCTTTGTCTCAATAAGTCTTTCTTTCTTAAGCGGCTATAGCTGAGACAATGCTACCAAATGGAAATGTGCTCATTATTTTCGTTGTAATTTCGTTGTAAATCTAACATCAAAAAATAAAAGGCACCTTTCTCACCAAAAATAACCCGACGATAAATCGATTTCGGCTTCGGATGCGTTGGTTTTGCGTTCTCATCGAAGCAGCTGCCAGTCCCGTTTTGAGGTTGTAATTAATTAAAGTCACTTGCTATATGCTTAATAATAATAAGACACAATATTAATGGTTCTTGAGCGCCCAAAAATCTTATAAGTAACTTACAAATAAAATTTGATTGATCAATCACTGTATGTGATATTTCTTTTTTACCACAAAAACTCGTTTATACCAACAGGTGTTCCACAAGGTTCTATACTGGGACCACTATTATTTCTAAAATATACTTTCGACTTCCCAAAAGATTTCTTATACCTGTACAGTCTTATTCAGACGACCCAATTAATACATTGTTTTAATCCTGATGAAGCATCTATCTACTAGTGGAATTTTTCAACATGATGTTAACTAATTTATAAAATCTTCGAACGTTAATGCAAGTAAATCCATAATACTCTTGTTTTGTAATGACCAAAAGAAAAGCATCGAACTTCCTCACTTAAAAATCACTATGGACAATCAAATATTAGAGTTCACAGATACCGCTAAAATTCTTGGTACCAAATCGAGGTATATTAAACATCTAACCTACCGAATTTTTAATTACGTTAAAAGCTTTAACTATATCTATCTTGAATTACTGTAATATTGTTTATTAATTTTCCATATTGTTCACGTGATTTAAAATAATTGTGTGCGGTTTATATTCAGTCTCCGGAAATTTGGCCACCTAAATATCAGGTCCTAAAATGGATGAAAATATATAAATAAATAAATTTCACGTATAAACTATAGCTAACTTCGAAGCATCGATAACTCAGAGAAAAAAATTCCTTTATTAAGGATATACATGGAAAATGTCTAACAAATAAAAATATAAATATCCTACGACATCTCTCAACCCCGTTCAAACGTAGTTTACTTATACTGTTGCCATAAGGCGTATAAAAAACACATTTCGTCTTCCGTAAAAAAGTTAAACTTGCGTTCATTTCGTCAACCGTTTAATCGCGAATGTAACATGAATTATTTTATACATATCTGTATTTTTTTCAAGTATCACAATGACACCCACAGATAACACCTTTGATTAAAAGTGGGTAACGGCAAACTGACTATTGACGGCAATGCCAGTAACCGTCAAGCAACTGGTAGCGATGCCGTCTTTGTGGTGTGAACGTTTGTATGTGTGCCGAGTTGGAGTTGCCGTAGAGTTCCCAATCTTTGAACATGATCGCTCTGAAACAAATTTGTTTTTCATATCTATGTACTGCGATGATGCAAGGCATTGCTTTGTCGCATTGAGGTATCTTCGGCAACGATGTACTGGTAACGTTTTAAGAATCTCCACTATCTAACTTTGTTAGTTACTTCCTATTATTTGCAATATTCCCAGTACTGTTTGACTTCAATCTCATGGAGCTTTAAGAATTCCAGTCGCTTATCTCGTAAGAGTTTTGGATAACTCTAGACAAAGTAAATAAGCGAATCGGACTTGAATGACTCGGAGAGATCGGCTGTAAGAAACCGCAAATTTGGTGTTGAAAATACGAAATAACAAATAGACAAAACGTTCCATTTGTCGTAATAACCACAAATCGACTGGAATTAGGAAGTGACAATTAAAAGTGTTGTTAATTTCATATAATGGAGGAAGTGTAAAAAATTAAAAATATACGCTGAATCAGACGTAATGTTTCATAGTACTGTGCTACCACTGTTAATAAAAATTTGAGCAATTGCGTTCTAGAAACTTTTTTGTCAAGTTTTGATGCAGTCATCCTATGGGTAAAAAAAACACACTTTCGGCCAAAAAGATTGAAGATCTGTACTCACGGGAAGTATTACGAGAATGAAAAGTGCACATAATCTTGGTAAACGAATGTAAGAATAATTGAAATAGTCAACATATAGGAATTGACATTGAAATTAACTTTGTCTATTTCATTTTCATTGTGAAGAATATAAAACAATTCAAATGGTCGGTTTGTTTTGAAAATTTCCTTTATAGTACGGTAAAATTTTGAAAGGGTTTCACAAAATCAGGAATTTCATAAGTATGTGACTTTGTAGCTATTTTTGTATTCGTATTCCAAATATATTTTTTATCTAGGTATCTGTAATACTAGGTCTATCAACATGAAAACTACAGGATAAGTTTCAGAGGTATTGAAAAGTCGGGTATATTGTACCGATTTTCAAATACCACCTGAATATTCACTGAATTGTAGATCTCTAACACCATCTAGATAGTCTGTTTCTGGTACTTGAGTGGGTATTTTTCAAGATTTTAGGGGGGGGGGACAAATTCCCAATTAATGTGAGGGGAGGACGCATATTCGTCGCCTCAGAATGCAAAAAACTGAAGTCGGCCCTGGGTGCAACTCATGCACAAATTGGATGCATGCATGCTGTGCCCCGTGCCTAGCCGACTAGACTATATTTGAGATTTTTTTAAATATTTTCAGTTATTTATTATGATATTGCTTTCGTTTTACCAATGTGTTCCAAAAATAGGTGATTCTCGTTCCAAGATCAATATATGACACTTATATCATTAATTTATACGAATATTCTTCAACTATTGTGAAGGTTGTGCTTCTGTCTCGTTTCTGGCTAATCTCGTTGATAACATCAGTGGTGTTACGAGTCTCATTCAGCGAAGATTGCAATGGCACAATTCAAAAATCGGTACAATATGCCCAATTTCCCCTTCTTGGTGTTATAGATGCCTAATTTGTAATTGAAACTTCTCGAATGGATATTTTTTATACTTACGAATAATAATATTATTCATAGTAGTTATAGGTTTTTTTTAGTGTAAGATTTATCCTCGATACTAAACTTCCTTTAGTGTTACTACGGTTTGTGATATATTGTTCTATTATAACAGTATCAACTGTACTTAATATTACGCATTGATTATATGTTTATAAATAAAGATGATATTCTGAAAGGTGTGTTATTTCTTTGTTTTTATGATGAAGAAGCGTAAGTTGCTTTTGAAAAACTGTTCGTTGTATATGAAGCATACATTGAAAAATAGTTATAACAAAAACAATAAAAGTGAGAAGATACGAGTAAACTTTAGCTATACTGCAGATATTAAACATTTGAAACATACCCCAAATCCTTTAAGAAGCAAATTTGATCCTGTTGTATAAAATTATTGAGAATCTAACCTCAAATTATTTTAAACAGCTGAAAAAAATCGGAAGTGCAAGTAATACTAGGTCTAAGAAAATTTTACACATCCAGAGGTTTAGCTTTAAAAACCTAGAAAAGTCATTATTTGTTGAAGGCGTTGAAAGTCTACAACCTGCCTTTAAAAATAGACGCAGGATTTTTTGGTTTTCAGTGAGTCATGTTTGTACATTTATCGCACCTCCTGAGAATATTTTTGTTATTGTATACTAGCTAAGAATTTAAATAAATCCCATTGCTTCCAACAACAAAAAAACTCGAAACTGGCCTTTTCTTAAATTAATGTACGGCTGGTAATACTAATGTTCTATAATAAAATATATAAATAAGATTCTTTGGCAAAAAAGTTCCACATATCCGTCCCTCGAAGTCCAAAACACACAATGTAGTACGGCTCAAGGAATACGAACTGTGCGAACCTAACAAGTAAAAAATAAGCACAGATTCTGGTACGACTAAAGGGATATGATAACTATCGACAAAATATCAGATTTAAAATAAAAGTTGAGCTCCGTAGTTATTTTGACCTTTAGAAAGTACCAATAAACAGAGAAACGTCAAAGTGAAGTCTTGGGTCTGAATGTCCGAAACCCTACAAGTAATCTGAGAAATGTTGAAGTGAAGCTTTAGGTTTTTGAATCTTCTGAACTCTACAAGTAATCTGAGAAACGACGAAGTGAAGTTTTTGGTTTCTGAATCTCCTAAATCCTTCTTTATTTCAAAGTACGTAATTAAGTTCGAAAATGTTTTTTTTTTTGGTGGAATTTGGTATTTATTGACCGTCTAGTTATCGTTGATAGATAAAGTTACGTGGAAATCCACTGACACTGACGGACTAATTAGAAAATGCTGATCGTGTGACATTGGCCTTAAGCCGCGTACAGACCAATGAACTGTCAACACTGATGGAATCGTCCCGTCCCATTTGTACCATGAAACGATAATGCGGCCAACATAAGACAAAGAGGTCCGAGAGAGAGATGGAGCTAGTCAGGGCAAAAAGCGCGCGGACTTGAATGAATTGCATAGGAAACCGAGGATTCTTAGAGAAGATTTAAAAGTTATTCAGGCAACTTGAACGAGATAAAATCCTGGAAACGTAATTATAATTAAAAAACCAAGTTTATTTATTTATATATACATATGTATGAAGCTTTACACATTTGAAGATATAAAAATTAGTATTTAACATAAGTAATTAATAATTCAGGTAGCAAAGAGATTACATGTCTGTTTATAATTAACTTAACTGCTCTAATATGCTATATCTTACATATAAAAAAATAAGAGATCTAAGAAATATCACAATAAATACATGTTATTTTCTATATATCTTTATAATGTTCCAAATAGTATTAATGCACATTTAAATTTATTTTTATAGTACTGTAGCTGTCAACACTAAATGTAGTGGGAACACGTCCAGTTTTGTAGAGATTGAAGTGTACGAAGAAAAAACCCTTATATATATACTTCGAAGTTGAGTCATTTATTTTAACAGTGAGTAGATCTGATCAAAAGAAATGTTTTTTCCTTTACCATTTTTCTGGTAAAATTAAAGTAACAAAGTTATAGCCCTTTGGAAGTTTGAGTACCGCCCTGTCTCAATAATAATATTATGTGCTCGTGTTTGGCGACAACGGATATAATCCGCCTTATCGGTTCATCGCATCGGAAACAAAAAAGCGAAAGAATTTGGAACGATGTTTTTACAATTATTTCATTCAGTTGCATACAGTCAGTGTCAGTCGGTAGTGAATAGTGGTGTCTCTTGCGTGACTCAAACGAAATAAAAAATGGCACATGTTTATGCGGATCGGTTTCCCAATCGAGTGCAACCAACCCCTCGTGCCTTTGTTAATGTAGTACAACGGGTTCGTGAATCAGGTGACTTAAGACCTCACATATGGACGGCATGCCGGTGCTCCAAGACCTCACGATCAAATACAGGTCCGCACTGAAATACTTGTCGGGAGGATACTTTATAAAACAAGGTAAATTTTTTTTTTTAATTATTTTTTTATTTTTACACACATATTTTGATTTATCTTCCTTCTACAATCATTATCTGAAAATTAATGACTCAACTTCAAAGTTATATATATGTATACAAAATATTTGTGCACAATGGCATTAAAAATACTGTAGATGCACAGTTTTTCATTATAATACAATATAGGTTATACCATAGTTCATTCTAGAAATTATCTATTCATGTTTTATTTTCAAAACCCTTCGATGGCTAGGTTCTTTCTTGAGATGGGCTGGAACACAGATGGAACTGCCACCTTTTTAAGTACCTTATTTCCATGAACACTAACTTCATAATCCTCTGGAGTGAAACGCTTTTCACAAATTACCGTTGTTGTACTGGGAGTAAAGTTTTCTCTTCTTATAGCATGTAACCACAACTTCCTCATGTTAGGATCTGTAGGTATCCTAAAAATCCAAATATCTTCGCCTGTTCCATCAGTGTTGACAGTTCATTGGTACAGACCGAGATTCCAACGCAAGGCCAAGGCACGTGTGGTGACAGATTTGATCGGTGTGTACGGCGCGAGCCAACGGTTTCCAAGGTTGGCGTTCGATTGCTTCCGCTCCTTGATCGGTACATCAAAGGGAGGTTTGATGTGGCCTGGACAAGATTTATTGCGCTTCTGGTCTTCAGTCGTTTGACTGCTTTCGATGAGAGTAATAATAATACCTTCCAACAACAAACGCCAACGTCACATGTGCCTACATTCGTTTGCTCGGCGTTGGATTTTCGATCTACGCGGCTTAAGATTCCAATGTAATAAGAAACCAATCTGATGACTTTGCTTGACGTCCTTCAATTCTTTATTGAGAAGAATATAGACTTGACTCGTATCCGTACTATGGAATGTCGACTGGCATATCTTTCAAACAATAAAATACACACATACAACACATGATTATTTTCATTCACGTGTTTATTTATTCATACCGTAGTAATGTATGCTTCAATATGAAATAATTGCCTACTAAGACATCATCTAATATGCATTCGTTGTAATTTACCATGAAGAAATCTTAGAAAACGATCATATTTAATTTAAGCACTTAATAGTAGTCGAAAATTCAACCAACTGGCTGATTTATCCAGTTAAAAATAGTGCGTATAGGGGTTTGAAGAATTGCTCTTTTTTCATCTTAGTAAATTTATTTTTTTACGAAATACAACCATATTAGCTCAGATTGTACCTTTCAGGTATGGCGCTCGACATAACAAATTCCTAAGCACTTTCCTTTTCAGCGATGACGAACAAAACAATGTTTTTGTTTTTTAAAAATTATCATACTTTTTGAAGTATGCATACGAAGCTTTGTTTCGGACCTATTCTGACGGCATGCATTGGTGTTTTATTACATACAACTTAGTAAGTACAGTGGTTTTGAAAATTGTATCATTTGTCGATATGGGGAATTTTGAAATAGCACTAAATAATCTGTCATTCTACCGTGATGGATACTAGTGAAAAAGACAATGCGTCTCTGTCTATATAACATAATTTACATTATGATAAAAAAAATTCTAATGGCGATTGATGACCTACACAAAACCACATTTTTGTAAGCTGAATTAAGATGTTTGTATCTATTTATCCTCATGTTTTCGCTAAGAAAAAGACGAATTTTAAATGATCACATTGACGCCATATTTTGCGTTTGAACTTTGGGAAGAAGCCCTGCCACTTTTATCATTAAATACACATAAAATAATATACTTTTTGGAAGACAATATTCAGTAGAAATAAAAAAATGGAAAATCCACTATCCAAGGCCAAGTTCTGAAGAAATCGATCGCCACAGTTTTCCTCGTAAGTACCTTGTGTTCAGTACCCTGATGTATTGCTGGTAAAGAGGTTATGGCTGAATAAAACTGATATACCTAATTGTATCATATATTTTATTGTAAAATGCAGTCTGTGAAAAATAATAAAAAATACAAAGAGATAATATTACGTATTGATCGGTTCCTCTTTAAAAAACTGGTGGTTTAGCGCTCCGAGTGCTGTAATTCTTTTGCCTGGGTTGAAGGTTAGCATGCTCTGAAAGGAAATTAATATTACAATCACTATTATTTCAATAGGGGATCTATGATATGAGGGTACTATTATCTAAGTATCACTTTTATCAATTTCTTGGGTCGTGGAGATATTTTAGTGACTGACGAGTCGCCACTGCTAATTGACCATCAGAATGAAATAGAGGTTCAGGCAACAAGCATTACGCAAAGCTGCTCAGCTGGTTGCTTGCTTTACAGGTTACAGGTTAAGTATACAAAATCTCACCATTATCAAATCGTAGGCAGTTTCACAAATATTTGGCGAAATTTCGTCTATTCTAACTTGTCCAATTACATCAAAAGAATTCCATTTAATAAATACATTTTCTTCTGGCCATTCATCCTCAGGTGGTTTGCCTAACACCCTTGAATAAAAAAAATAGTTATTTATATTTTATATATATATGTATATTTTTTTAGTCAATCTGATATACCTAAATATTTTGCTGAGTTGATCTCCTTCAGATGTCCCACAAAACAAAGGCTTAAGGCTATAAAGCTCAACCAAAATACAACCTACTGACCAAATATCTACAGGAGTTGCATATGGCAATCCTAAGAGTACTTCTGGTGCTCTGTACCACAATGTCACCACCTAGAAATGTAAACAAGATAACATGGGATCCATTATATTTGCAAAAATTATTTCCAAAAAATCACATTGTCAGTCTTTTTGGCTATTTCAGCATTTATAAAAGTTCACTACAAGACAATATATTTATTTTGAGTTCTGGACTCAAAAAACTCACCACTGATGTGAGTTTCATCTCACAGTCATAAGTTTTAGCCAGTCCAAAGTCTGCCAGTTTGATGTGTCCATCATGTGTCACCAACAAGTTTTGTGGTTTCAAATCTCTGTGTACTATTCTGCTACCATGCAAGAAATCAACTCCATTTAATATTTCCCTTGACAAATTTCTTATTTCCATAGAACTGAACCCCTTAGGGTGTCTTTCAATATATGTTGCTAAGTCTTGTTCTACATGCTCAAAAACTAGGTACATTATTAGTTCTTTGTCTGCAATAGAAACATGTTGATGAAATAGAAAAATAAAAAAAATCCTTAAACTTCTACTGTAACATCACCATTAAACAAGAGGAGAAAACCTTATTCATTATATATGGTATATTCATTCTTTTTAATAGTTACCTGTCTGTTGTCCATGGCATACATCAAGAAGACGTACAATGTTTGGATGGTCCTGTGAATTCAACTGTTTTAAGAGAGAAATCTCCCTCAAAATGTGCATTGGTATACCATTCTCTGATAATGGTATAATCACTTTTTTTAGAGCTACATCATTACCAGTTTTTTTGTCTTTTGCCTTGTATACTGTGCCTGAAGCACCTGTAACAATTTTTAAAATGTAATCCAGAATCTAGAAAAAGCTTTTGGGATGTGGGATTATGATTTAATTAGGTACTAGTGCCTTTAGTTTTAATAAGTGAATTTGAATTATTTAATAGATGTTTTTAATCAGTTTCTCACTTAAGTGAAGTTCCTTACTACTTCTGAAAAATAAAGAAAAGTTCCACATGGTGCTTTTTTATATACAAAACAGTTATTATGATAAAGAATTGAAGCAATATACATAGGAGGCACTTGACAAATGACAAATCAACATGTAATAAAAAACAAATGAAAATCTTAGTACACACAAGTACATTATATTTTAGGAAACAATGGAGACATTTGCTTATCAAGTAGTCCATGCAATATGATATAAAGGTGAATTAGTGTTTAGCAATTCTTAAAAATATACATATTAAATAAGGTGATATTTACAAATAATAAATGAGAAGATGGTATAGTGATGTCTTGGGCTGCACAATTTTTAAATTGTCAATATTATGTACTAACATACCTCTTCCAATTCTGCTAAGAGCTTCATAAGTATGACTCCTTTCAAAAGACATGAGTCCTGTGTAGTGGTGTCAGTCTTCAAATGTATGAGGCTCCTGCAGATATTACAAGAGTTAATAATGCAATCTAAATATAAAATTGAATTCTACCTATAATGGGCCCCTAGATTATTTTTAACTAAGTCTTATTTTTTCAGCACATGGCTTGAATCATAAAACGAGGGTAAATGTCCTTGGCTAATATGTAGGAAAAAGAGATTAGGTACACATAGTATTTACATTTTTGCATTAAAAAATTCCGGTAAAATGGAACCTCCGTCCCTATCGCGTTTGCACAAGGTTAAAAACCAGTAAGACAGCTACTTTTGAAAGCAATTACATGCTTCATAACTTCATATCCCCATCCATATCTCTTATGCCAACTGCTAGCAATTTAAAGCATGCTGTCAACCCAAAGTATCATGTGAATGTTCGAATCTTACCTGCTTTTTTCGATTTAAAATGCTTTATTGTCTAGTTCTACACATATTTTCAAAATATCTACGCTGATTTGAGAGAGGAAGCACTGAATTTTGTGTGATTTTAAAAATATTTTGTTGTAATATACGGTAATGAGGGCTTAAACCGAACCGTCAAGATTAAAAACCGGTGGTTCAAGGCAGCAGACAGAACAAAACAAAAACGGCTGGCTGAAGGGTAAGCAACAGTTGTTCGAAATAGACAGGGGTGTATTCAGGTGAAGTCTCTCATTCCGTTTCATAAAGATACGGTAAACGAATCCAAGGGTCCGAGGTTTGATCTCTCAGAATTGCTAATAACCACTGGTCTAGTCTCGGAGCCAATTTTCCAGTCGCAGGCGGTACAAAGGGTATTATAAAAGTTTTGCAATCTGACTTAACAAACGGATGCTTCATGTTACTGCATGTTGAGACACACGATACACATACACTGAAGATAGGATATTGCGCATGTGGGTGGAGCTTCGTGACGTCACCCGGAGAGTTGTCGGCTCGTGGTTACCAGCGGCAGGATTGTCGTAACGTTACTGCAGTTCACGTGTATCGTGGTTAATACTATATGTATAGTGCGATTTGTTGGTGTTTTTTGGTGGTTTTGTGACCTGTTCTATTAGTTATACATTCTTTATATAGCCTGTGTGGTTGATTGTTAAAAATGCGGTGTGCTGTTGTGGGATGTAATTCCGACAACCAGTCTAAACTGAATCCTTGCAAAGCTATGAAGTTCTACAGATTTCATCAAGACCCAAACCTCAGCAAAATATGGCTACATCATACAAAAAGAAAAATCAAAGTCAATGTAAAAAGCGCTAGGGTTTGCTCGAAGCACTTTTGTGTAAGGTGAATTTGAAACATACCCTTTTGGGTTACACCCCTAAAAGATATCGTGCTCAAAAAAAGATGATACCATTCCTAGGGAAAATTTACCCAAAATTCTATTATGCACGTTTTCCATATCAATCCAAATGATAATCACTCTCCGCGTGACGTCATGCGCGCCGGCGGACGAAAATCGAACAGCGGAGCATCCGGCGCTGGTTTAAACATGTCCATGAGTCTGACGATAGAGTTGTTCATTCGAATTGACAGTGTAAAGCGCGGACTATCGCATCGTGGTCACGTAGTGAGATAAGAGCAGTTTTACGGTATAGCTTTACAGCTAGTTTAAGCATAGACCATCGTACGACTGTATTCAGGTGGTACAGAGAAAAAAGTGTCTGGAGGACGCTGAGAGGGAATGAAGGCCGCGAACGTCAGTAACAGAGGAAAACATAACTGCTGTGAGGGAAATGCTTGACGAAGACAGGAGAGTGGCATACCAACAGATAGAGGAGACCTTACACCTTCATTCACCAGCAATTCATTTAATTCTGCATGGTCATTCACATGTAAGGCAGCTTTGTTCTCTCTGGGTACCGCATAGTCTGACGAAAGAGCAGAAGACTCGTCGTACGACTTGGTGCCGAAAGATGCTGAAAATGTTTGATAGGGGTAAATCTGGGTATATGAACGGCATCATGACAGGTGACGAGACTTGGCTCTATTATTACGATGTGCCGACCAAGGCTCAAAACAAAGTTTGGGTCTTTGATAGTGAGGACACACCTGTAGCTGTCAGAAGATCTCGATCAGTTAAGAAAAAGATGATGCGTTGAAGCTTACGTAAAGGCCAAAATGCTCACACGATTATGTTTAGAAAAATACGAATTGCCGATAACATACCGACCTTTCATATATCAATATCGGCCGATTATCGGAATCAGCTAACATCATGCTATATGAGTCGATCTCTATAATTGCAATGCTGCAATAACTGGTATTTGACGATAAACGCACAACACGTTCACATTCGTAGGTTCGCATGGTGAGCCCCTTTACGTGAGCATGTTTTCCAAGTCAGCACTTTGAGATCCCCAAGGAAGTCGTCGAGTCTACACTCAAAACCATAAGGTTTACAATACAACTTCCATGAGGAGTACCCACAAACGCTATAGTTCTTTCAAATTCAAAATTTTTTCAGTCCCCTCTTGCAGTTATTTGAGATTGAAAGTTAGGGAAGATCTAATCACCAAGCGGCTGATTGCAGACCTGTTCTTTCGTAAACAAAAGAAAGGAGTTCCGTCCGTCAGAGACAGCTGAGCTGACAGATGCAACGTTCTGGCTTCAGCCTAAAGAAGGGCGCTACTGAGGCAGAGATCAGCTTTAAAACCGGATGCTGAGTAAGCGATACAGATACTAGATGGCAGAACATTATATGAAGACAATTAAATTTTACAACAGAGGCGGAGCTTTGAGGGTACCGTGGAATAGAGATGTCTAGGAACAGCCGCGTGCTTGTCTTTCTCACTGATACAACGTTTCCCGTACGTTATGGATAAGGAAAAAATGAGAGTCCGAGTAAAGATAACATGGCCGCGCAAGACGACTGTTGAAATGTATTCTACTAGGCTCTAGAAGACTATCCGTAGCGAAATTTGTGCCGAAATCGTTGCACAACGCAAAAACATGCCAATGAAAATTGGAAAATTGCCGTTTTAACGATTAAAATGGCTCCTTCGGTACCCCGGGATAGACATCCATCTTGACAGATAACCTTGTCATTCTTGCCACCTGGATTGCGGCGTTGCCAGCCCATCAGACGATTTTTACTTAAAAAATGACTCTCGTATAAACCGTTACTTCAATGCTACTTTTTTTAGGTTAATAACTGTGGCGTGCTGGCGATTTTCGATTTTACAAATGAAGCCAGACTTATGGAACGACTTAATTTTGCTTCAACTGATACAATTAATCTTAGCAGTGACGGTCGAGGTTTTCTAGGGGTTTTCCTCGCCCAAGTGCGAATGCAGTCACTAAAAAACCATATTCCCCTAGTAAAGAGTAGAGAAAATGAAAATCGTACTTCTCCTATTAATGATCATGTTATTTTAGATGAAATTGTTAATAAATATAATTATATAATAAAACATTGTTTTTTCCAATTGTTGGAAAAAAGTATTTTATCCTGTAGAACTGGGCATTTATAAAAGTGTTCAGTGGCATTGACATTCCGCCGCATAGACGCCAGGCGACGCAAAATATGAATAACGGCTTTTTTTAGTTTTTTGGCAAATATTGCTACGCCTCAAATTTTATATATCTCCAACAGTCATTCCACGTTTGCTCACTAGGATCATTGTGAACGTCAATCTATGAAGGAATCACTCAACTAAACTACGCATTATTGGTTGCATAGTTTTGTGAGGCCAAATGGTCCTTGTCTGTAATTTTTAACTCTGAGAAGAAAGTTCATCTGGATGATTATGTGTATTGGTCTGCATGTGTATAAAATCAGTGATATTTGCTGTGTGAGAAAATCATTACTGAATATGCCGAATATGTTATTATATATTTATTTATATGCTGTGCTTTCTGAAGAGAGGTTGTATTCAAAGTTATAAATTACGAAAATTACCGCGCCCGCATTGTGTGTAATTACTGTTAGCATGTATATGGCTTTTAATTCGACAGTGTACAGTGAATATAATTATTTCTTATCTCTCTCATTTTTGAAATTCAGCAAATTTGTATATGTAATTTTCAGAATAGATAACAAAAAGTGGATGCGCAACTCATTTCTAGTTTTGAATCTCAATTAAGTGTATTTGAGACAAGAACCCAATGTAATTATCATAAACATTGGGTTCATAACTTACAGCTTAGGCCTCCAGTAATGCCATCTCAGAAGCAGATTTTACATCACATCAGAGCCAAAGATTGATAACAAGCCTCATGACGTTTAGGCAACACGTACAACTAAGTGCTGAGTTAACATTTGTAGAATAACCTACATAATGTCAAAAAACAGCATAATGCAAAAAAAAATCGGCATAATGTCACTTTTCAAGATACGTGATCACGTATCTCTTACCGCTTCCGAGGTCCTAGTGGTGAGGGTCAACGTTGAAGCACCCGGTATATTCACTTTAAAATATTAATTAGACATAAAACGTTATATATATGTACATGCATGATGCATGACAGACAGGTTCTCAAATAAAACTCATCATGCTGATCATGTCGTATACGATTGAAACAAAATAAAGTCAACTCATGCTCTAAATTCCGGGTTCCGAAGTGGGTCATTATGCCTCTCGGTCTTTAAAATTCGAGGAGCCAGTTTTGAGAATATGCCTTGAGGCAAGACTTCTTCGCTTGATGTGGCATGTAAGGTAACCGTGACTGGCTCGAGTCGGACACCTGCGGTCACTGAAAGATGCTGAAAGTAACAATTATTATGCCAGTGTATTTCTTATAGGAATGTTCGGTCGCATATTTTGAGTCCCACACAGTTGCTCGAGTATTATCGTTGCTTTCATTCACTTGGATACTTTTATTTTGTGGAGCTCCACCACAGGGATAAAAATTGCGTATTTAACAATTAATCTTCATACCTAAAGGGGCGTTTCAGATATAATAAGTTGCAGGCACATTTGTCCTAAAAGTTTTGGCACAAAATACTTATCGGATTTTTTTTAACGAAGAAATGTATTGAAACACTAACTAGTTATCATAAATTACAATTCAATACTTAACTAAACTATACTATCGAATTTTGTGGAGTGGCTTATTATGCTCTACCAGACGTAAGTAAACGAACTTTTGTTTCCAAAGGCAACGTGATATTATTTTGTGTTTATTAAAATTAAAGCCAATGAGTTTTGTGCCAAAACTCTTTGGACATACATACGTTATCAAATTTTTCGAAAGTCGAGGATCTATCTAAACGTAAGATTTTGCGCTCTATCTATTTCCCCTGTCAACAATATGGGGTACCATTTCAAAAGATGGACCTAGACTTTAAATTACCTTAAACCTCAAGGTCAATGTAAATTTAAGGTTACCGTTCGACAGAATCCTACACCAGCTTCTTGGTAAATTTTGACTCATGGTTCACTAGATTCTTTGCTGTATCTGGACTTTTTTAACACCCAGTATCTATAGGCACTACCTGCAAGAATTTAAGATAACTCCTCATAGAATATCAAACTCTCACAAATACATAAGTCTTATTGAGTTATATCTAGCAACAACATGGTTACATGGTTGATCGTAAGTTTTTAATAAAAATATGAATGGATGAGATGGAGGAGAACTTGACTAATGGCCTACTCGACCTCCGGATTTATACCACTTAGCCTAGAACTGCTGGATGTAGCTCAAGATGACCTCAATTCGAAAGAGCTCGATGGTCTATGACGAGAAAAACACATTTCAGTTTCTGAGTAGATAATTAAATTTGGAAAATTCGATTTAAAAACATATCATTCTTTTAGAACTTCACGCTGTATATTTTGGATAAATCCAGATTGACAAACACATCATACGGTTTCGATGCTTGAATTATGAGCAGGTCATTATACATAAATGCTCAATTTTAATAGTCCAGGTAAATACAGGGTGTAAACCAGTGGCGGCTCGTGGCAAAATAAAACAGGTGCTGTGCAAATCCGAACTTACCTATTTTTTATATGTCAGTTCGATCCTGCGCTCCTTCTTGGCAGCAAATTTGTCGATCACCTTCCCGTTGAAATTTTCCATGGTCGAAATAAATTCCTTTTCAATGGACAGCATCGACAACGCTGTAAGGCGATCCTGAGTCACAGTATTTCGAAAGAAAAGTCTTGATTTTTTTCAATGTTGAGAAATTTCGCTCAGCCTCTGATGTTGACATAGGAGTTGTAACAATAATTTCTAATAGCTTTTTTGTTTCTTTGAGCGTTTCCTCCAAACTATTTTGTATCAAAAATTTCAAAAGAGATAGAGTTCCATGTAAATCTCGGCAATCATTCCGTGCATAAATAACAGGCAACTCTGTCTTTAAACGACTTTTTTCTAATTCGGGATAAGCCAAGCAGGTAGTTTCCAACTTGTCATCAGGAAACTTACCACAGTATTCTCCAAAGTGCTCCATTTCAATAATGTTTACACCCTGTATAGTGCCTGGCGCTGTATTGAAGAGGTGTACAACGGATCTTGCTCCAGGTTTATCGCGTCTCTTCCAGCTATCTTACGAATCCAAAACTTTTACTGAAAATGTCAAATTGATATCTAGGCCATTCAAAATATAATTGGCGGGGAGGCATTTCAGAAAGGCAGAGTATAAATAAGACAAGCCAGGAAAATGTGTTTATCGTCACTTATTATTTTATTAATTCGTGTTATGTATTAAAACCTATCACTGATGCGTGACTGTCCTCCAATCACTATCCTATATAAACAAGTAGGCGATTTGAGGTCACTGATGGATAGAGATCGCAAAATAATGATCGTAGGAAGTGAGATTCAGATGTAAATGTCAATATAATCGATGGAGTATATCAAGATTTATGTATCATTATTTTAGCAGTTATCGACTGTCGACGAAATATTGTTTTGATACGGGTTCACATCTACTGGTACTCTAACCATTTTAAACAGGTAGTGAAGTAGTAGGGGCGATAAGCGCAGATGTTGGCGCTCTAAGCTTTTGTTTACTTAGGAGAAGCAGTTCAGACGGATTGACCAGAGACAGATGGTCACAAGTCTCTGAACGGGCTGTGCGCCTTGGTATGCTAACCGATCTTGGTATACTGGGCTTTCCTTCATGATGCCGCGGAATTCTAGGCCTGCTAAGCGGACCCGTCAAATTTTTCTCTAAATTGAAAACTTTCCAGTACGATTGCTGTTCATTACCTAGGGTCTCAATATTGTAGAACAACATGCCACGAAAGGTTTTCCCAAACTGTGCTAACAATAAGCAGATCAAAAATCAGATTTTATTTATATTCCAACCACCATGAAGATCGAACAATATCTGAATTTTTAACTTGCCTGTAGCAGTCGTGATATATCGGTGATATGTGCCTTCACGGCTACGTCGGTAAGGGTCTGAAAAAGGGCTCCAACAAAAAGCGATTTTTATTTAATGATCTATAAAGATCACATGATGACCTTTATGTAAAACAGCCAATTTATCGCCAGGTGCCGATCACCGCCGACGCATGAATGCTATTTCTTTACGCCCTGTATAATAATGGCTCAAAAACGTAATATTGTGCAATTTTGATAAAATGAGAATTTTTACTTCACAAGGACTGAAAATCTTTGTAGTTTTTGAAAATCGGTCCAATGGTGGCGGAGAAAAAACCAAAAATAAAAATCGTTTTTTTGCTGTTTTAGAAGAGCCTAATCATTTTCGGAAAAATGGGGTGTCGAAATGTGGTCTCCCGATGGACAGGCGTCCTCATCGGTGGTCGTACGCCGCAGTCGGCAATCGCATCCGGTACAGTCTATATGAATGTCAATACCGTCATCAACGCGGGATTGGTCATCGCGAAGATCATGTGTGCCTACAGTGTAATTCCTCTCAGGGGGTGGAGGAAGTCACTTAATTTGTTGCCAAACATAAGCCTTTACGTACTGAGCTTGTGAAGTACAGAGTCAACTTGACGCAATTTTTTTGAGGAGTCATAGCCTGATAACAGACTCTTTTCGTCTCTGAATTGAATTATTCTGTTATTAACTTAAATTTTATTAGAATTTTATTTTGAGGTCAATAATTACGATTAATTGTTCGACCTTCTACTATTGTAATATAAACTCTTTGTAATTGAAAAATATTTTTTTACTTTCTAGTTCGATTAGCTGTAAAAGCGTGTTTTTTTTTGAACTATTACTCATTTTTCATTTTTTAGTTAGATTTATCATTTAGTTTTTTGTAGTCATGTGGTGTTTAAATGTCTTACAAATCATTTCGTAATCTAATCATTTCATTTTAAGTTTCTCCTTTGCATGGGGTTTTTCCTGTTAACTTAGAGCAATCAAATTCTTCAATCCTAATACCGTCTAAAGATGTTACACGACTAAGTGCTACATAAGCTTGTCAAGTATCAACTGTGTCCATTGCGCTCTCTAGGGACATGTATCTCGGGAAACGAATCGCAAAAGTGCAAAATGTTTATTTTCCTCGTGGACAACTTATTTCAGGATCTTTTCGGTTATTCTGAAAAAATATGCCTAATATGCTATTTTGTTTCTAACTTTGACCGTTTTCGAGTTTTAAGCGAATTAATGTCCGAAAACCTTGTTGAAAATTACAACCTTTGTGATCGCCAGGTATACAAATTGAAGTTGAACCTTTGTTCTGCAAGACTACAGAGAGTATTTTACGCTTAGTTCATTTTGAAGCGATTTTTAAGCTTGTTCTTTTGGCCAAAATTGGAAAACTTTTGATTTTTGCTAGACTGTTTGTGATAATCCTTTTCAGATACTTGGGACCAAACGCAAGTAATACCTCATAGCTTCTAGAAACGAAAAGAGGCCGCTTTACCATCGCATTGCTCCGATCGCCCCCATTGTTGGTACCCAAGTAGCACTACAACGTCCTCTTCGTGGTTCCGTTACTCGACCATCAGTCCGTCGAAGAAGGTGCAACTCGCCGCGTCATCTACAAAGCTTACAATTCTCTGGTAAAATCCAGGATACCTTTACAACCGGCTTATTTCCACAAAAATATGTGACCGATTCGTCCCGTGACTTTCCATCGCGTCAACTTTGGAAACATGTCACCCGTGGGTTGACCCACAGACAGAACTTGAACTTGAGCATGCCTCTGAGGTGACCCAAATTCCGCGGTACGGTAAAGCGAAAAAACTTTTCGCACGAATAGATGCTAGACGGTGATTAAAAACGGTTGTGCGGTTACTGTTTTCCGCGAGAACTATATTGACAATCAGGAAAAAGTTCCCGGATCTTGACCTTGAAGGGTCGGTTTCATCCCGAGTGAACGGTTTAGGATGATCCACCTGTGACAAGATGGCCAGTAATTTTTGGACATTTTTGTTGGTTGGAGTGCAAATCGTCGTGCAAGCAACTGAAGGTAAGCGTTTTCGAAAGTTTCTGAGAATAGAGCAGGAGAGGATGGTGGTGAGAAGCTTATGTGTGCCAAGTAGAGTTACGAGACATGCTTATTACACATTCTGAAGTGCAATCATTGTATGATACACTGTTAAAAGCTCCTGAATTCCATTGTCATAATATAATCTGCTCCAAAGTTCTTCTTATTGAAAGAGAACATTCTAAGCCGCGCACCAGGTCTCTCATCATGGACTTGGAAATTCCTTCGATTGGATATTAAAAGCTTTTTGGAAAGGAATATAAACCTTTGGTTTTGTAACGTTTGCTGTGCCAGAATGGCTTTCCGTTTCTGTAACCATAACCAACCGCTGTTTCGCGCTCAATAGCAACTTTCATAAAACCAGACCCAGTTGTTTGCTTTGTATGTCTCCAATACTAGACCTATACTGCACTGATAAATTGCTAATGAGCACGAAACAGCGCTGTCTGTGGTTGGTCTTGGTTACAGACACGGGAAGCAATCATATCCATTTCAGCTTGTGTCTATACATGAAATCGATTGCTCGTCTGCTCCGTGGATGCTTAGTATTCCGACTACTTGACGGGTGGGCCGTGATGGTGCTGCGACATCTATCTGTGCGTATCGCAGAACGTCGAGCTTGTATGAGCCAAAGACGTAGGGGTCTTTTTGTCATCTTCATCGTATAAGATGACGATGAAAATCATCCTGTTAAATCATTGGTAGGTAGAGATCGTCAGATTTATCACAAAGTTTAGCGTTTTTCTCAAGAACTTCGAACCATATTGACAATCGGGAAAGTCTCCTGGATTTTGGCCTTCTTGGTGGTATTGCAGGTCCTTGCAACAAAATATAAGGATGATAACGCTTTGCAACTACATGCAACGATAGAAAGTTTTTGAAAGCTTTGGAAAGTTGGACATTTGAATAACGATATGCTCTTCAGATCAGCAAAGTTCACAAACTTTTTCGATGGAATTATATTAACAATCGGGAAAGCAAAGGGATCTTGGCCTTGAACGGTTTCAGTTCTCTTCAGTGAATAATTCAAGATGATTTATTGTGGCAACATGGCATGCAATCTTTGAAGCTTTGTGTTGGCGGTAGTTCTTGTATACGCAATTCATGAGAAGGTAGGTCATTGCTTAACGAATGATATAAGTATGAAGCTTATGAGAACCAAAGAATGCTTCGTAACGATTAAAAGTCTGTAAATGGTATTATAGTAATTTAAGAGAATTTTTATACCGAAACAGCCGCGTAGGCAGAAGTCTAAATACCAGGACACAGCGGCTGCTATGTGAGCTTAAAGAAACTTTGTTAGTCCGATTTTAGAACTGCCTAGGGTTAGTAGAACGCCGGTGCGAAACGGTCCAGAAATTGTCCGCTAGAAAAGAGTAATCGATCAGCTTCGAGCCTTATGGGGGCCGTGTACAGAGTGAGGAGGTCATGTATAGAAAGTTGCTTCTTAACCCTAACAAATATCCTAGCTCTTTCCCAGCAGCTGCCGCTATTGACAAGAGATGTTCGTGCCAGTCAAGTCCTAGGTGATGTGGACTCCGGCCGGCCGAAATGAACGTCTCTTTGGTAGAAAATAGCCCACCATCGAAACTGGATGAGCTCTAGGATGTTGCTTGTGCGACAAGGTACAATTATGTGTTTTGGAAGCATTAAACTGCACAAGATTGTTGCGTCTCCAATCAATGATAACCTCCGGGTCTTTCGTCAGAGAGAAAATCGCTGCTAGTCTCTTCTCCAGCTTACTGGCAGAGACCGGCTTTTCACTCGCATCAAGAGTGATGTCATTATCAAAGCTAGGGATTGGATTTATCGTTCAGGAAAGAAGGTCGTTGATATGTAAGAAGGACAGTGTCGGAGCCAAGACCGATCCCTGGGGAACACCCGCGTTGACGTTGTGGAATGAATGACGGATATCTTGTGGCCAGAAAGTCAGCCACCCATCTGCAATGCTTGTCTGTGAGGCGAAAGGATGGAAGTAGATCGAGGTCTTTCGTGATATCAAGAGCAACGACATGAGCTTCACCATAAGACTGGATGAGCTTATTCCACAATTGCGTGACGTAAGCTAGGAGGTCCCCTGTGGGTCGCTGATGCCGGAAATCATACTGCCCGTCGCTAATCAATCCATGACCTTCAAGGTACTCCAGTACTCCAGAACCTCTCTTTGGATATGGTGTAATAAAATATACTTTGGATCTAATGAGGAATATTCTCGCACGCCACTGGGCAATCTTTTCCTTCGTGCAGCAGCACCCTTTTGCTTTCACTGCTGAAGCACGAGGGTATCGTCCGTCCGTCCGGAGTTATCGTCCTCGTATTCCATCTCTCAACTTGAATATAGGCGTTGTTTTACTGCTTCAGACTCTACAGCGACATTTATAAAATATCGCTTGACCATAGGAATGCCATTACCCACGAGTAGGAGTGCCGGAAAAAATCAGATATCTGTCTGGCGTCCTATGCAAGAAACAACATAATGGTACAAAATAACTGCTACTGGATTCAACCGCAGTATAGACATTCTCGGGCTGATCGAAGTTTTTGTGATAAACAACTGGTACTTCGGATAAGTCCGATAATGGTGGTATAATGGTATTATTATGTAGTATGGTGTATTATTTACTTATATGGGTGTTCGTTAGTAATAAATGCCCGAGTCAACGGCATTTCCAAATTACTGATATTGGTAAAGGTATGAAGACATAAAACTCCATGATTTTCTGGAAATTAGAAAGTACAGCGATAATGACAATATAGTTTACATATATTGAATATACATTATAAGTCATTAACACCACATACGCAAACGTTAGCTTCAACGTCAACGATTCACGTGTGGGAAATATCAAAAGGAGTTTTGACCTTGGCATATTTGAGATTGCTATAACACTCAGTTGTCAAGTTTAGACATCACCTACTAGCCGCACTGGCGCTTAATTTTTTAACCTTTTTTCTGTAATCTGTGACCTACATAACGTGAGTGAAGTGGCCCCAGAATAGAGCCTTGAATGAATGAATCTTGAAATTAGAGGCTTTCCGGCCACCATAAGGAGCCAGTGCATAGGCCGCTTAAGCGGACCCTTATGCACCTCTACAATCCTTAGATCACAAGCCTCGCCCTTTTAGCGAAGCCCACATCGAATTGCGAGCCTTGCTAACATTGTATTCCACATGCTCTCTCCAGTTCAGTTTGCAGTCCAGAATAATTCCCAGATATTTCACTGACTTCTATTAGGATTGATCCAACCCCGTGTCTAACCAAGGCATGTCTGATATAGTCGGTTGTGGTGCAATTAAATGCACCTTCAATGTCCAAGAAGGCCACGAGTGCCACTTCTCGCTGATCTAGAGTCTTCTCCAGCCTACCGACCAGATTGTCTAAGGCCAGATCAGTCAATTTTCCAGCTTGGTATGCAAACTGATTTGACTGAATGACACACCTTTCCAGCGGGCCATCCCTCAAGTATCTATCAATAGAGCCTTGCTGCTCGCTAATATCTTAAGTACCTCTGTTCCATGATTTTTATTCTTATGAGTGGCTCATGCCCGTTTCTTTGAAATGTCAACAATGAGTAGCATCTATCGATTTGTACGAATCTTTTCTACTACTAATAATGTGTTACAAGAGGCAGAAGCTCGAACACAAGGAATGCGTTTCCATTGGCTGAACATGAAAAATATCAGAAAGCATTACGAGTACGAATAATGATCATAGAATTGCGAGTGTCAACGACATATGGCTGCGGTGAGAGTTATTAGACTAGAGAGCCATGAAAAATGGAAAGGAAGTTACAGAAACCAGGTGCTTCGATATTGCGTTTTGAATTCATCCGGGACATGGTAAGCTCTGCATTACTAATAAGGTTATCCGACATGCCTTCAAACAGAATGAGAAACATTGTCTCTTGAACCCTGGCACCATTTACCTTTCCTTACTAGATCTGAAATCTATCACCTGATTAATCAATACGAGGGTTGATCCGTATGTCCTCTTCGTACATGCTTATTCAAAAAATTAATAAAACAAGAACTGACAGATACAAAAGTATTAGTAGTATTATTTCCATCACTGTGTAACATTCTAACAAAAATTCAATAAAGTAGGTCAAGAAATAAAAACATTTGTATAGCGCAATTTAGAGATGTTTTCAGGAAAAAAGTACTATTCAACAGAAACATGTAGCTAATAACATACAGTAGCTTCAAAACGCAGTACTGTACATTGACGAACAAAAAGCGAACAAACTTAACCAAGGGAAGCTGGAAAAACTTAGCGAAACTACTGGTACATTTGAGCTACTGGGCATTTGATCTACTGGTACATTTGAACCAAACCAAACCAAACAAAAAAGTGGGACAATCCTGACGAAAAAAAGTTTGACAAACCTAACGAAACTAGTGGTACATTTGAGCTAATGGTACATTAGAGCTACTGGGCATTTGAACTACTTGTCATTTAAACTGCTGGGCATTTGACCTGCTGAGCATTTGGACTACTGGTACATTTGAATCAAACCAGATGAAGTAAAGTGGGACAATCCTGACGAAATGAAGTTTGACATATCTAACGAAACTACTGGTACATTTGAGCTAATGGTACATTAGAGCTACTGGGCATTTGAACTACTTGTCATTTAAACTGCTGGGCATTTGACCTGCTGAGCATTTGAACTACTGGTACATTTGAACCTAACAAGATGAAAAAATTGGGACAAACCTAACGAAAGGAAGCTGGACGAACCTAGCAAAACTACTGGTACATTTACAACTACTGGTTGTTTGAACTCATGGGCATTTGAACTACTTGGCATTTGAACTCTGACAAAGCATTTGGACTACTGGTGCATTTGAACCAAACCAGATAAAATAAAGTGGGACAATCCTGACGAAATGAAGTTTGACAAATCTAACGATACTACTGGTAGATTTGAGCTAATGGTACATTAGAGCTACTGGGCATTTGAACTACTTGTCATTTATAC